TATTTGGTTTCCAGTGTAGTATTTTTCCCTTTACTCTTACATCTTCATAATTATTTTAATGGAAACTTGGAAGAGAGAAAATGAAGCATTATCTTTTAACAATGCTTATAACTTTTTGAGTGGCTTTTACACTACAGATAAGCAATAAAGTAAGGAAAGGCATGGAGAAAAGTACCACGATAAGAAAATAAGAGATGGGGCCGGCCGAGTGGCGCGTTGGTTAAGAGCTGGCTTGGGATGCCAGAGGGCCCCGGTTCAGATCCCACATATGAGGGCCAGTGACACTGCCCTCTACAGGTAAGATGCTGAACAACAGCTCAACCTGGAGCTGGGCTGCCATGAGTCGCCGGCGCAGCGTAGGCTGCAGCTCCTGCTGTAGTGGGTTGCCATGGGCTACCGTATGTAGCCAGCAGCCAGTGTGAGTGGCCAGCAGCTGCAGTGAGTGGCCGTCCAGAAGCTGGCAACTGATCTGCCTCACCCAGGAAGAGCGCAATGATGGTGCCAACTTGGGCCAGTGAAGCAACGTCCTCCACGACTAGACTGAAGAACAAAAAGGACAGCAACTTGTCTGTTTCCCTTCCCCCAATTCCCCAGCACTATTCCCATCCCCTAATTTCCCAATAAAAATCTTTAAAAAAAGAAAATAAGAGATGGCACCCCATGAATAGCTGTCTCTCTTTCCTTTGTGGAATGGCAGACAGAATGCTTGTCAAGAAGGGCTAAATATTAATCTCTATGGGTATATAGCTCTCTTATAGTTGAGCTAAAATACATTTGGAAACTAAGAAGCAGCCATATAAAGCCAGAAGTCATTACAATAGTCAAGTTGTATTGTGAAGGTCTCATATATCACATCAGTTCTTACATAAACATTTTTATCTTGACAAGTGTGTGTAAAATGATTCTCAGGGCCTTTAATATAGTGACATATGGTGATATGTAGTTGCAGTGAGGGCACTCGGGAAATGGCTCAGCACGCAGACACTCTCATAAAAATTCTGAAGTTTTCAAACCTTCAGAGAGAAGATAGGGGCAGTGGTCTTGCCAAAATGACTCAACCAAAGAAATTTAACTTTTTTTAACCTCTGGGAAAGGAGTTCAAAGCATATTTTAATCTGAAAGCCAAACAAAGAAAATCTGCTCCAATGATATGGATATTTGATTTTATACTTCTCAGGCAAGATAAACTATTCTTTTGTGTGGGCTGATATTGAAACTCTTCCTTACCAACATTCTCTTTGGATTTAATAGGATAGATTACCTTGGAGCTTCCTACAGTCAAAACAACCAACCAGTAGAGGTTGCTGAAGTCCGAGCTGCAAGATAATCCAGAAATCATAGAGAAAACGCAAGTTAAGAGCAAAACCACATGAGTTCAACTTGATTTCAACCTTCACATTTCCTGGAAATCATTTATGAAAACCCAAGTTTGGCAACGAATCTATTAAATAATTGAGCTAAGGTCAAGATTAGCAATGTTTGAGGAGGGATGCTAGCGTCATGGCTAAGAATGTGATTGAAGAACTAGTTAGGTGTACACATTGCAAAAGGGCTAAGTCTGTGCCGGGCCATTCACATGAGCTGAGCAGAGAAAGACTCTTAGGACGGTGTTCTAAGACCATAGCCACAGCCTCTGCCGTACAGGCTCTAGTAAATTCCTATAGTCTCTCCTTAAATTTTTTGGGAAGTTGATGGCTACAAAGGAAACAATGGCAAAGTCAGCAGTAGGATTTCTTGCAATGCAGGCAACTGAGGCACCATGTTCTGCCTCTGTGACAGCAGCCCATTGATCCTCTCAAAGATGGCTTTGATTTTATTCCCACCTTCCAGCCTACCACTGGCAAGTAACTCCATAATTTGCCCATAAAGAGCCAGGTTGATGCTGGGTCTATAGGATATCAAAAAACTGGAAGGACAGTGAACAACTTACTGGAACAGTGGGCACAGGTTAAGCCCAACGTTTGAACACTGGCAACTACCGAAGACAGGCTGTAGTTTTATCTCTTGCCACAAGGGGGAGGAGGAAAAGAAAATGGATGGGAAGAGTTTGAAAACAAACCTAGTTGGGTGATTTTTCTTTTAGTTTATAGGGGGGCAGACAGACCAAACCAACCTACCAGTTGTTTTTCTTCAGAAAAAGCTATATAGCCCAGATCTCTCTATCTGTTATCTGACATTACTTGGATACCCTAAAGGTATCTCGAATTAATCATGACAAATTAAATTCAATGTCTCCCCTACCCTTTCTCAAAACAGAAACCCAGTTACTTACCTTTCCTCATCTCTCCCCATCAAGCTACATGCAGAATCAATCATCATGTCCTGCCTTCTTTTCTTGACCCGCCCCCCACTCTCACTTTCTGAGTTTAGGCCACTATCATGTTTCCCCTGGACTAATACAAAGTCTTTATAATGAATCTCTCAGCTGTATGTGCCATGCCTTTGGGCCTTTGCACATGCTGATCCCTCTGCCTGGAATGCACTGTACCACTCTGTCTCGCTACCTCCTTTGTTGTATCCCTCCAAGAATACCCCTAAAAAATATGGATGGAAATGATCAATTTTAGGAAGGTGGCCACATCAGAAGAGGAAGGGAAGGGAGAATGGTAGAACTGGGATGGAACATTAGCTGCATCTCCAAGGTCTTATTGAGGGAGAGAGAGAGAGAGAGAGAGAGAGAGAGAGAGAGAGAGGGAGGGAGGGAGAGAGAGAGAGAGACACAAGGAGCGACATCTCAGTCAAAATGTTCACATTTGCTAAAAGTGAATTATAGGTATATTGTGTCATATTATTTTTTGTGTGTTTGAAATAGTTCATAATTGTAGGTAAAAAATGTTTTAAACAAGTGATATTCCTTTCTTCAAATTGCTGTAATCTTCTGTAGTGAATCCTTCCATAAGTCTTCTGACCCTGGCTATAATTGCAGACTTACGTGTCTGTTCTTTCTACTAAACTAAAAACTGCTGGTGTTGTGTTTGTATCTCTATCTGAATCCTATCAGTACCTGGTGGACACTTGCTAGTTAGTTACTTGAATGAGTCTCTAAAGCATTGGCCATCTGCTGAAGAATTGTACTACATGGTGGGACTGGCAGTCAGCAGGTGTTGATGGAGACCTGCAGAGATGAAAGGAGGGAGCTGGGTGAAGCAGTTGGCAGAACCACACCCAACCCAGCCCAAGCAGGGCAATACGTTGAGGCTATGGAGTTCTTGAGATCCCTGCTAGGACCAAGCCACGGCTGAGATGCTTTGGCTCTCAGGGAGGCCAATGACAGGGAGACAGTGGGAGACAAAGGTCAAGAGAGCCAGAGCAGGGCGATAAGTCCCAAAGGGTCTGGGCCAGCATGTCATCTTAGCACAGGCCGGAAGCTCTTTTGCAAGGAAGCACCTGCATCTTTCTGCCTTCCTTATCCTAGGAGATTCAGAAGTGAGAGTAGGGTCCTTGCCCTCTCTGAGCATGGTGGCAGGAATGATTGCTGAAGACCTCCCAAGCCAGTGAAGCCTTCTGACCACACACTGGACTACACCTGGGGGCTAGAGCACGGCCCCATTGTGATGCTGCAGGACCTGGGGACTCTCACAGGGTTAGGATGAGCACAATGGCCTCCTTTCCTGGCCTATTGCCCAGCAACTAAAGCCCAGGTGTGCTGAAGTGAAATGAAACCAGCAAGTGTCAGGACTGGAAACATGGCCTCAGGTGCTCACGTCAGCCCAGGCACCAATTCTGTGTCACTCAAGGCCATGGTATGTGCTACAATACAAGTAGACCTTTCTGGAACTGGCAGAAGTGACAGGCAGAGCTTTCTGACTGTGCACATGACAGGACCACAGACAAACACTTATCTGAGAGAAAATCCTTTGAAATTCACTTATTGGCAAAAGTATGGAAAATCCCACTAGGATTAAAAGACATGTTCACATGTTAAGAGCGAGCTTTGTTTTACCTTGGATATTATCTAGTTTGGGCCAATGTTGGGCAATTAGTCTTCAAGCTTCTAAATTGTTATCTCTAGTCAGGTGTCAGAGACTTGATTTCTGTTGTCAGAGCCTTTGGTCCTGCAAGACACTTCGTGCTAGGGTAAGTACCCCAGGAGAATGAATATTCATAACTTCATGGTCCCTTGTAATAATTTTTAAAAAATTTTAAAACCCAGATCAGAGAGGATAAAATCCAAGTTATCATCTCACTGGAATGTGCCAGAGGCCCCCTTTAACAGAGAGAAAAACATGTGCTTTATGCCTAGAATACTCTATTTTTAGACTTTTTAAGCAATAGCAAGTGCTTAGTGATTTTACTTCATAAATTTCCCTTAAGAACATGTATACATTGCAATACTTAAAATTGGAGACCCTGGGAGAACTTGGGAGAGCCTACTCCCATAGAAACTCAGATTTTTGGCTTGGGTACAAGATATTTTTAAAAATGGGTGAAAACAGTACTTAAAAGTAAAGAAAATATGAGTAGCATTCATGGTGCTTGGAGATTTCTGGTCCAGATTTGAGGATCTAAGCTACTGCCCTTATCCTAACTTTTTGGTCCCCTTATTGATATAAAGCAATGGGGGTCTTTTTCTATGTCCAAGAAACTCAAATAACAAATCCCAAAACCTTAAGCAACAGCTATGCAAGGCCCAAATGCTAATGTTGCAAAGAATTTGGCAAATGGAATCCCAAAAGGATGACACCATTAGCTTGAGTGTCTGCAAAGTTTTTAAAATTATGCTGTCTGCTCCCTGGCCAGAGATGTTTCGTATGTTTCACCATATGCTCCATAGTCAGCTAATTTCCCCTTATGTCGATCATTCCCCAGCGAAGCTGCACCATGGGACCAGACCCCTCATGCGTTCTCCTTGGCTGCTTCTTGGGAGGGGACAACGCTGGCCTGTCATCCCAACAGAACTGGTGGCCCTTCAGGGTCACAAGAATCAGAATCATGACTCATTTGCAAATCACACCACAGATAGATAATAAACGGAATCTCTCATCAAAAAACAAACAAACAAACAAAAAACCCCAACTTTTATTTTTTTCTATTGCATAAATAATGGTAAATTAGACTCTTTTTTTATACAGATTATATATTTACAGACAGGTTTGGTTAGAGAAAACATTTGGTAAATATGGCAGTCAGTTTTCCTTTATACACTAAGATAACAATAATATATGCTTCATTTGATCAGTAAGTTGCATGCCACGTTAATTTATATTAATATTTACATTTTATATAGAGATTTTCTTTTGACTAGTCTGCTGACTCTCTCATCACTTAAGAGCAGAAATCATCAACCAATGCTGAATGAAAAAAACAGAAGTGGAATGAGAATGAAGTAAAACGGGAAGATTGTGGCCCAGGATTTCAGCCTTTATGGCCCATTCTGGATGGGAGAGCTGCCAAGCTCCATTCGCCTTGGTTACAATAGTCCTCAGCTGCACTCTGATTTGCATTCAGCCACTTACTGTGATTTGAGAAGAAAGTCACGTCTCAAGTCTAATGACTCCTAGGATCACAGTGACCACCCCCAATAAATGACAATTTGCTAACCCACTCCCTGACCAGGTTTTCATGCCTGATTTCCCTCCAAGGGCATTGTCTTTGGTTAGTCCTTGAGAGAAAAGCTTTTTTCTGGATTCAAAGTTGGGGAAGAAAATCAAACCACACTAAGAAGCCATTCAAGGACCCCTAAAACCTGATTTCCGGGTCAGAAAGAAAGAATATTCTTGATTTTCCTTGTAGCGAGCTGAGAGACACTGACTTCTATAAATTTCCACCAGCATCTGAAAGGGCCCTTTCCTGGCCAATCTAGGTCTTTCCAGGTAAGAACAGCAGGACTTACAATATAAACAAAGAGAAAAAAGGACAGAAACCTAGAATTTCGTGTTGTCATGGGGCAGAAGGGCTGAAGACTTCTGTGGCTCCTGCAGTCCCTGTCTTCCTGCCCTCTACCCCTCATCATTTTTGGACCACATCTACAGCAGGCACTTGGGTTCAGCATCACTCTTCAGCCATCTAAGGGACAATTGCAGGCAGCTGGTCTCCCCAGACTAATTCCTGGTAATCTCAGAGATTGTGACTCTCTTCCCTCAGCAGTGTTACAAATAATTACAAACCACGATCACATATACTAGAACTGCTGTTCCAGTAGCCAGAAAAAAAGGAAAGAAAGAAATGACCGGAAGTTGTGCTCTTTATTCAGTAGCTTCGCTAGGCTTTCTCAGATGAAGAAACAAGCATCTTTTTCAGACTCTGGCTTTGTTTCACCCTACTTCTGCATGTATTCTGATTCATGCGACCTGTGATAAGGTGACCAAATCCCCTTCATTTTCACACTGGCTAAGCCAGGACACATCTTTGATGCTCCCTTGAATCAGCAAGACCTTAGGAAGTAAATAAAACCTTTTGCCATAAGACACAACACATTTGACATAAGCCAATTTGCATTGTTTCACCTACCTATAGACAATGGACACCAAAAGAGATACTTGATTACAACTGCCTTTTGGGACTTGTGTTAAAAATGAAACTGCCAGTCCCTGATGCCATTCGTAGGGGACCCTCTCAAGTGCAGCCATTTATTTGTATTTGTTTCTGACAAACAGTCACAATGAGAGGGCTTTTATGGGTCATCTGGTTTACCTTTCCTCTTTAGAGATGAGAAACCTGAGGCCAAGAAGGGAAGTCACTCAAAATTATCTGGCTGGTGGGTGGCAGGGGCACCTGGGGTCCTGCCTCCTGTGCCCTTCCCAGCTGATAGTGCTGCCCACTCTTCTGGTTCTAAGCTCTGCTGTCCTGGCTTCAATTCACCAGGATCACCAGGACTGAACCCAGACAGAAAGCCCTGGGAGAGGGCAGATGTCAACATCCCCCAAGGAAAGGTGAGCATTCAGCCTCCTCTTGAAGCTTGCAGTGCATGTCATTGGGATCAGGTTGATGGGCAGCAGCCCGTGGCACTCGGTCCCCTGTATGTTCCCAAAGTAGGCCAGATATACAGGAAAAACATTTAGGGACCAGCTTCTGCAGCCCTTTAAACACTTTTTTCTCTCTCAGGTCCAGGGATGGAGCAACATTACACTTGAATTTTGCATTCCCTGGAATCTATTCCACTGGAAAATTCCAGCCTCTGCATCCTTTCACTTGGACATAACTTCTACCAATGTCAGAAGCATCAGTTTGAATGCCAAGCCATCATGCTCAAGGAAAGGAGGTGGATGAGGGCTCCATCAACAAGGGGGGGGGAGGGGCGGTGGGCACCGTGTTCCACAAGTTACCCAAAGTGGGGCGGGGGATGGGGTGGAGCAGGAGGCTGGGCAAGTCTTTTCCGGTTACAGAGGTCTGTCTTTGTGGGACTGGCAGAAACTGATTCTTTGTGGCTATATTTCAAGCCAACTGAATCAAATTACTTTTGCTTTTAAGACTTTTTGAGCATTGTTGTCATGTCCCTTGAGACCATGTAGAAAGGGCCCTAAACCAATACTAAGTAGAAACCATAGCTGTTAAAATGACCACGTGCATTAGCAATGAGAGAGGATACTAAGCGAAGGGTTTGGCTGGCTTGTGTACTTGACCTTATTCCGCCAAACCAAGTGTCTCTGGCAAGGCCACTTAACTAAGGACAGTCCCCTGAGTGACTTAGTCAAAAGAAGTATGAAGTGAAGCTGAACAGTTCTGACATTTAAATTGTCACGGAGACGGGGTCTGTAAGAGGCTTCCCAAATCCGTCTCCATTTTGCCATCGCTTTAAATAATTCAAATTGAAAACCCTAGCTGCTGAATAATGTTTCTTTTCTATTTCTGATGGATTTCTTTTTCCCTTCCGGGAGAGTTGAACCATGAGGTGGTGAGGGAAATGGCTATGGCAAGGCCTTTGGGTTACGGACTTTTAGCCCTGTGGGGTCAATGAAGAGGCCACGAGAAAGCTCTGACCTGAGGTCATTTCAGACAGATGTTCTCCAGGGAAGGCAGCTCTGCAGTCCTCCTGGTAATTCAACCAATATGTGCCAGAGCCTAGGAGCTTACGCACAGTTCAACTGCATCATCAGGGCATTATAGAAAAGGGGTGCCTCCTTTTGCTGTGGGATTCAGACCTTCTCTATATCTCAGCGGAACAGGGTGAGTAACACGATGATTATGGGCCTTTGGAGAAGTAGTCAGTGCAGTAAAATGACCTGTGGTTTGAGACCCGCAGCTGGAAAGAGTGAAGCTCTGCGGCTTCCACGGGCTGGAGAGCAAGAGCTCAGCAGAGCAGGGCTTTCAGGCTCGCAGCCAGCCACCCCAGGGGCTGTGCTGTGCCGTCACCCCCTGTTCTCCTAGTCAGGCCTTCACATGTTCCCAGGGAGGCTGTAGGTACTGGTGCAGAGCAAAATCTCCTTGATTTATGACCTGAGTCTGGACTTAAGCCTAGAGAAGACATGTGGAATAAAAGATAAACTTCTCTCTCCCGGTACTTAAGTATATCACTTTATGATTCTGTGGATGGGAGGTTGGGAGGAGCATTATTATCAAAATGAGCTTGCATCCTTCACTAGCTCTTTTGACTAACTATAGTAGAACAGACCGTTTGTCATGGACAGTCTGAGACAGGAGCAGGTATCAAGAAAGAAGACTCACACATCTTGTTTTCTGCAAATAAAACACCTATAAACTTCTGAAACTACTGGGATTGCCTAAGACCACATGTGGGCCTCGGTTCACTTCAGTTCACATTTCTGGCTTGTGGGAGTTCTTCTTAACAGGCAAACAGATGCTTTTAAAGATTGAGGCTTAAAATATATTTTGCCTTCCAGATGACATTACTGACTTTTCACCCAGATCAAGGGATCCTTGCCCTGGGCCCTGGGAGGTGGGGGGCGGGGGGAGGAGGATGGGGGAGGATACCACTTGGCTCACAGGTAGCTCCTGTTCTCCTGAGCAAATGGAAGGGCAGGTTGAAACACAAAAAAGAAACCACGGGATTTTTTTAGGGTAATTTCCCCACCAGCAGGATATGGATGCAGGGAATCAGGTTGCAATCAGGCAGAACTCAAGTATTCTTTAAGAAAATGTTCCCTATTTTTGTGTGCCTTGGCAAAATCAGGGTGGAATGCAAAGGTTGCCATGGCAACATTCTTTTTTTTTTTTTTAACAGACTGGTCACATGGGACCCACGCACATTCTGGAAGCCACTGCTCCTAGTTCCCATGATGGGTCCTGTTAGGGGGCTCTGTCTGCTTCTGGAGTGATGGGTAACAGCTTTGTGGGGAGCCAAGGGCATCAGGGTCTGTACCCCTTGTCTCACAAGCAAAATGCTTCCTTGGTTATCACAGTGTGGTCTGGGGGGGCACCCATTCTTGTGACAAGAATGAGCCAAGCTCAGTTTGCCAATCACTCAGCTGCCTCATAATAGACCCCTATGTCTATTTGTTGGGAGCACAGAGGAAGAATTGGGGTCCTCTGTCTCCATTCCTGCAGAGGTCACCTCATGCTGGGGCCACATGGCACATCTCGTTCACAGGGGACCGGGACCTTCTGGGGTCTTCATCCATAAGCATCGTAACACCCGTGGTGAAGGTGTTGATGGGCGTGGGGCCCTGGAGTAGCACTGGTAAGGACAAGACTGGGGTTGGGGCTGTAGGAAGCCAGAATTTGAGCTGCCTGACAAAGCCCAACTCCTTTGACAGACTGTCCAGGAAAAGCAGCCAGGGTGCAAGTCACCAGGACAAGCTCTTAGCTTGTCAAGTGTCAAGAATACCACTACTCTGGGTTGACTCCATACTACTGCAGACCGTGGGTGCCAAGTGCGAGGTTACCATGGAGGAGGATAACTTCTAGCTCGTCAAAGAGAGCTCTGTGGCTTCCTTGGTGCCCTCTGTCCCTAGCAGCCTCCACAAGGAATGCACGCTCCTAGATTTTCTCCTGGGTAGGATGACTGGCTTCCTGGTCACTGGGCCACAGGGAGGGTAGGAGGCCTCTTTAAGGAGAGGGTGCTGAGGACGTTGTAGGGTGCCTCTCCAGACTCCTTTTCATGTGCACCCCTGCATGGTGACTAATCTGTCTTCCAATGAAGGCTAACCCTCACATCCTTCAGGGTCCCTGTTCTCCAGGGAGAGGCAGAAGAACTTGCAGAAAAGCAGCCTTTGAAAAGCAGCATTTTTAGCTCTCAAGTCCAACCTCACCTGCAGCATTGTAATATCCTCTCATGGGGCAGAATCCTTTAAGAATCATCCCTGGGGTCTCTATCCAGTCTCCTTAGGGTCCTGTAACTCCCTCCCCATTAGGACGTAGTCTAGTGGTTCAGGGGGTCCCCCCACCAAGTGTAGTTGAAAGAGGGAGGGCCAGCTGCTTTGGGCAGGAGATAACGATGAAGTTGTCCTATTAGTATTCTGTATTTGGACCTGTTCTTGTTTGGGATTCGTATCCTGAGGGCCACGGCATCTCAGGCAAGAGGAGAGAGGAGAGGCAGGTGTGCAAGGTGTGCTGTGGCAGGGCAGGGCGAGCAGAGGGCAGACAGGCTGCTGCCTTCCATGGTGGGGATGTGCGGGACCTCTCACAGAAGGCCTCTCAAACCCCTGGGCTCTCAGAAGCAAACACCTGCTTCCTCCTCTTACGATGGCTCAAACCCTAGTTTTTCTTGTGCTCATCATGAATATTTGCACTGTCTCCCACAGTGGGGAAGTTCCTGTAGCTGCCCCCAGGCTGTTGCCTGAAGCGCTTGCAGAGGTGAATTGGAAGAAGACCCTAAACTGAGACATTGGAAGCTCCAAGTCTGAGAAGGCAGTAGGGAGAAAGCTGAGAGGAAGGGGAGGCTTGAGGGGTTCAGGAACACACACTGCACCAAAAAAACCTACCCAGCTACAGTGAAAGAAGAAAGATTCTGGTGCTTCATTACTTGAAAAAAAAAAAGGGAAAGGGAGAGGGGAAAAGCATGTAGCTTTCGGATATGATGGAGGGAAAGAGGAGTGAGACAATTCCATTACAGAAATAAAGACCTGAGCTTGGAAAAGTACAAAGGGAACTATTAGATTGAAAGATTACTGGTTAATCAGACTATGCAAGCTTGAATTAAGCGTGGTGGCTGATGTGACATCTAGGAAAAGTCAGGAAATTACAGACTTGAAATGGTGTTAAAAACAGACTACGGGGTTCGGTTTCCTTCCCCAACAGAAGTATTCTGCAGGGAGAAGTAAATTACCTGTCGTGTTGGCTAAACTTATTAATATCTTTTTGTTTTTTTTCTCATGGAAATGAGTCAGTTGCAGGATCTGAACACCGGAAGATGTTATATAAAACACAGTTGTTTGATCTTTCTATCTTTCCACTCTGGACTGTATTTCTCTTTTTATCTGGGGAAGACTAACTTACAAAGCAAACTGTCAGATGAGAAAAAGGTGAGATGCAGAGGACCTTAACTTCTGGCATTGAGATGTGTTCAGGCTCCATGACTGCAGACGGCTGGGGTATGGGCTGCAGCACCTCACCATCAGTCTGTCTCCTATCACCCAAACTACCTGTCCCGCCCAAAAGAGGTAGGGACGCGGGTCGGAGGACAAGCTTATATCAGGAGTAAGCGATTAGGGAAGAATGATGTCACACACGAAGAAGCCAAATATATGTCTGTCTACATGTCTGTGATATAGAGGTGCCCATGATTATGCTTCTTTTTCTCTAATGGCAGCACAGGCAGCAAAGCTGGGAGGAAGGCTCTCTGCAGATTCCAAGATGCTGGTGCGCGATGGGCTCTAGGAACAGAAAGCCAAGTGCAGATGGAAACCGAGAGCTCCCCAACTCTGCCAACAAGAGTCGTGTAGAAAAGGCAGTAAGAACGGAAGCGAAGGGGGCAGCTGCAGGCCGCCAGGTGCTGCACCCCATCCGATGGCTTTCCCCTCAAGCCTTGGGGGGTTCCACTGGGTGGAGGAAGGAAGCCAAGGCCAGATGGAGAGCCCCTTCTTCTGCAACAACCCGCAAGTCAGCCCCTGGGGACTGAGGGTTGCCGTTGGGGGGGTCTCTAGTTGCCCCCAAGGTTGAAAGAATGGGGCTAGGAGGTGACTGCGTGTTCACGCCTCTCTCTTGCTCTCTGGGCCACTGGGATTCGGAGATGAAAATGAAGTTTCTCTTCAGTTTCTGCAGGGCTATTTATTGCATTAGGAAACAAAACCATTAAAGCATTGAAGACAGCCCTTTTGTGTCCCTGCCAAGGAGATGAAGTGAATTTGCAACACCGGTTGCACTGCAACCTGGTGTTCTTCGGTGAACTGTGCCATGTCTGCATCGTTCGGATCTGCTTTTGAGGAGGAACAGTCTGCCCGCAGGGCATGCGCATGCGCGGTGAGCTGGGAACGCAGCGGCGTGGTGGCGGGAGGCTGCTACTCCATGCCGCTCCGCAGGATCTGGTTGGCCGCAATCAGCATGACGCTTATGATGAAGGCCATGGCGAAGGCGCAGATGAGGCTCTTCCGGACGCAGGTCTGTCTGTTCTGTTTCTGAGAATGCACTGGAGGTGGGGGAGCAGAGGGCAAGGAGATGTGGAGGGCAAGGAGGGGAGAGAAGAGAAAAATGACACTGTGAGACGGGCTGCACCTCTTCCTCAACAAGCCCAGAGTCCAGTCCCTAGGATGCGGACTGGTCAAATCAAGTCGACAGTTTTGGGGACCACCCTCAGGGGAGACTGAAGATCACGTCTTCTGGCAAATGGTATGAAACACTGAAACTTCTATAACAAAGACAATGACAAATGTGATGTTCAGAGTGAGGTGTAAACCTAACAGTTATAATGGAGTTACAGATATAATAGAGGCACAGAGACTTTCTGAGTCAGGCAGTATGGAGCACTTCAGAGTGAGTTTCACAGAAGGCATCATCCAGCCACTGCCATATCCGTTTCTGTGGGACACCTGGCTCCCATGTCTGAGGCAGCTGACACAGACAGAGCGAGGTCAGGTGTGTCCCTATGTGCTGGCGCTGGGCTGGAAGCAACTTAACCTTTCCCAGAATTGTTCTTGGGTGGCTGCTGGTCCAAAAGACTCTAAGCGACCCCTTGTATTAGTTCAGATGTGCCCACCAGCAGTTGTAGAACCAGGTCCCTGAGTCAGCAGCACCCGCACCACAGAGCTTATTAAAAAATGCAGATTTTCAAGGGCCGGCCGAGTGGCTCAGTTGGTTAAGAGCTCGCTCAAGAGTTTGAGTTCTGAGCAACAATGGTTCGAGTCCAGCCCGAGCTGAGCAGCCGCTGAGCTGCCAATAGGTAGCAGGATGGCTCAGCTAAAAAAAAAAAATGCAGATTTTCAGGCAGGACCCCTCCCCAGATCTACTGACTCAGAGACTGGGGATGGGCCAGTGATCTGCGTTTAACTAGGTGATCCTGGTGCATGCTGAAGTCTGAGAAAGGGGTACCACATGAGCTGTGTGTGGAAAAGACCAGTGTGAAGCTGAGGGTACAAAACCCTCTCAGACTTTCCAGAGGCAAGGTCTCCCCAGATCCTGTGGCCCTCCGGGTCTAACCTTGGGTCCTGGGGTTGCGTTCTCTTAATCCTTTTGTACCAACCATTTTTTATAAGGCCCATGTGACACCATTTGTGAGTCTCAATCACAAGGCATTAATTAATGGGTTACTAATATGGACCAGAAACAGGAAAATGGAAATAACAAGAAATAATAAATAAAAAGTTTTGATCAAGTGTGCTAAGGAAGAACAAGTCTCTTTCTCAGGCTTTGCTTCCCATGCCAGATTTCTTTCCCTTCTCCTTTTTGTCTACACTGTCTCCCGACCTGGTCCTGGTCCCACAGTGATCTTTGCATACAGTTTACCACTTAGTGTATAGATGACATCTGTGCCCTGGAGGCGCTAGGAGGCTACCTGCACCAGAGCTTCTCACTGGACCAGTAGTAGCAGAACCATCTGGGAGTTTGACGTAAATGAGAATTCTCAGCCCTCATTGCAGAATTACTGAATCAAAATCACTGGGGATGGAGGCCAAGAATTTGTGTCTCTTTCTATAAGCTCTCCAGGTGTCTAGGGAATCACTGGGCCCCACCCCCAGAGTTTTTTATTCAGTATGTCTAGGTGCAGCCAAAGAATCTGAGTTTGAGTTGCTGGGGACAGGAGGTGTGTGTGTGTGTGTGTGTGTGTGTGTGTGTGTGTGTGTGTGCGCGCGCGCGCGCATGGTTTAGGGACATTGGGGTGGGGGGTATTGGGAAGATGGTTCTTTACAATCAGATGTTAAGAAACCCAATGCTAAGACAGAAGAACCCTTTCAGGTTAACCTCTTCATTTAAAAAAGGGGTCCTTCTAAACAGAGGCAATAGTTTAGTGGTTACCAGAGGGTTAGGGGGAAGGGAGGTAGTAGATGAGGGTAAAGGGGATCAAATATGTGGTGATGGAAGGAGAACTGACTCTGGGTGGTGAACACACAATATGATATATAGATGATGTATTACAGAATTGTATACCTAAAACCTATGTTGCCCCAATAAGCCTTAATTTTAAAAAAGGGGTCCTTCTGCAAGACTCGCCTCTAAAGAACCTAAACAACATTCATTGTCCAGTACCTCTCCCCCTTGACATCCAGTGGCTCCTCTAGATTCCTGGAAACAACAGGGAAGCAGTTGGTTTGGCGATGTGTCCAAAGGCAATGGAGCTTTCCCTGAGAGAAGGGGCTTGTCAGGGGGCCTCTAAGAATTACCCCACCAGGGTGGTTCTCCAGCAAGCCACACTCCACGGAGAGCCAGTACAGGCGCAATGCTCAGCTCCCACCCCAATACCTGCTGCTCATGTCTGCATCATCTCTGAGGTCTCGTCTTGTTATTTTTAATTCTTCTGGATCCACTGGGCTCCTCCTTCCCTTGGGGGATTGAAAGTATTTCTGGTTCAGCTCTTTATTTGCTGGTCATGTCTGGGTCTTAGAATCTTACAGGCTTTTAGCCGGAGGAAGAAATTTTTTTTGTGTAAAGATGCACCCCTCCATCCTCCCCACCTCTATGGGCAAATGAAAAAGATGCCAGCCCTCAGGAAGGAAAAAGGAGGTGGCATTTGAGCAGGAAAGGACTGAAGCAGAAATAAGACGTGGATGTGGAAGTAGTGAATCTCACACTGAGGACTGGTTCATTTATTCTAAGCAGCTCCTCTGGATAAAAACGCTTCTGAAGGCAGTTGTCTAGCTTTCCATCCTGAGGACTGGCAAAGGCTTAAGGAAAAGGACAGTTGTGTGATTCAGCTGAGGAGAAAGTTTTTGCTGAAACCCTTTGTGAAGGACACCCAGAAAACAAGGTCACAGGCAACAGGCTTATCCCCAGGACAGAAGCTGCGCCTGTGACTTAAACACCCTTAAGTAGTGGTCGGGGAGAGGTGAGGAAGGGGGAGAGGCCTGGAGATCTCAGAGCTTGTATGAGGTCATGCACATCTGAACCCAGACCACAGTCCCGTAAGCAGAGTGGAACTTCCAGCTCATTCCTCGGTGGCTCTGAAACAGATCATCATTTGTCCCTAATTCAGTCTCTGTGCTTTGATATCCAATCTGATGTCACCATAAATTGTGTGGCAGAGTAAAAAAGTAGGGACTTCAGAGCCACACCCAAGTGTGAATCATGATTATCTCACATCCTAGCTGTGTGGCTTTTGGCAAGCTAATTTCCCTGGGCCTCAATTTCCTCATCTATAAAATGGAGGTAATAAGACCTACCTTGCTGTGAAGTAAGGGCATATGAAGGTATGGCAATACGGTCTTTGTGTCTTTGCCCAATGAATGCAAATTCCCTTTCGTAAACCTTTTATAAACTCCTCCTTATTGGATGCCTGCCCCAGTGGGTAATACTCACTGCATGCTTCATATGTGTTGTCACATGCTTCATATGTGTTGTCACATGCTTCATATGTGTTGTAAAGCAGCAGTGCTTTGTGAGCTGGGTTGGGATCCTCTTTTTTTTTTCTTTTTTTTTTTTTTTAGCTGAGGCATCCTGCTACCTGTTGGCAGCTCAGCGGCTGCTCAGCTCGGGCTGGACTCGAACCGCTGTTGCTCAGAACTCAAACTCTTGAGCGAGCTCTTAACCAACTGAGCCACTCGGCCGGCCCTGGGATCCTCTTTTGATAGAGAGGGACCTGAAGCTCCAAGGAGTGAAGTTCAAGCTCATTTTGCAAATGGGGGAGGTGAGATTGGAGCCCAGGTCTGATTTAATATCCAGGTTCAAAACTTCTGCACAGACTCTCTCTTCATGATCTTTTGCTTGGCAGTGCAAAGTTCAACAAGAGAAAGACCCAAAGAAAATGCACTTTGAACACTGGGTATGATTGGCAGAATATAACCCAGCACTAATTACTGTGTTTGTTGATAATATTTTAAGGCCTGTTTTTGGCTATCACGTGTTTGTGTTGCACTGTATTTTTGTGGGTTTATTTATGCTCCATGTCTGCACTTTGTTTCCTCAACAAGACTGTAGGTCAGCCTAGGATGAACCATGAGTTGAGATCTGGTTTCTTCAATTAACTGCCACTTAGGAGCAGCCCTGGGCAAGTGACTGAATTTTTCTGAGCCTCAGTTTCTCTCTGTGTAAAAGGAGCTAATAGTAACTGTTGTGCTAATCTCAAGAACTCTTTCAAAGATCAATGAGCTCATTTAAAAAAGCAAAAGTTATGTCTAACTGTGAAATGCTAGAGGAATGCAAGGTTTTCTTTTTGTATCCCCGGAAGCAAGAGAAAGGCCTGCTTTTTTTATTTTTTATTTTTTTTATCTCCATTCCCTGTAGCCTCCAGACAGGGTGAAGGATACAGCAGATAACCCCAAACCTTTGCTTTGGTCCCTTCCCTGGTTAATTCATCAGGAATCGCAGCTAGACTCACCTTCCGAAAGCAATGCTTAGTATGAATCACCACTCCCTGCAACTTCCTGCGAGGCCCCCCTTGCTGGGAAAAGGAGTTCTGTTCCCTGCAGCTCCTACGCTCAGTGGGTAGGACCACAGGTCACTTGCGCACCTCTGCCTCTAAACCACTGTGCCTCCCCTCCCCCAGCAACCTCTGTCTCAGCCAAGGTTTCCTGCTGTTCTTTGTGCGAGACTGTGGCACTACTCACACCATTCCCTCTGCTAGGGGTGTCCTTGGCCTTTCATCTCATGGCTTCTGGGCCTAAGTCAAACTTGACTTCCTCATGAGGTGCCTCCCGAACATCCAGCTTGCAAAGGCCCTGATCTTTTTAATTGTTTAAATGGTCTAGCTCTTAATATTTATTTTTAATTGAGGTAGAATTCACATACCATAAAATTCACCCTTTTAGAATGCAGAATTATTTAGTACATTCACAGTGTTGTGCACCCATCACCACTGTCTAATTCCAGAACATTCTTATCATCCTAAAAGAAACCCCATACACATTAGAAGTCACTCTTCATTCCCTCCATCCCCAGCCACCAGCAATCACTAACCTACTTTCTGTCTGTATGGATTTGCTTATTCTGGGCATTGCATATAATGGAATCATACAACATGTAGCCTTTTGTGTCTCACTT